TGAGAATATTTTGTTTTTGGTGTATTTTGTTTTGTTTTTAGTGCATTTTGTTTTGTTTTTCGTGTATTTTGTTTGGAAGTCGGTTTTTATTATTTACATTTGTCAAATTCTCAATTGCAAATGTCAAAATATTACCATAATATTCTTGCTTTCTTAATGTTGGCAGCTTGTAGTTTATGGTCCCGACATGACAGGTTTTTTTCCAATTTATTTACCCCCTAAGTTTAATAGCGTGAAAATGTGTATCCTAAACCGTGTCTTAAGTGTAGTGCTTTCAATAAAAGGAGGAATTATTAAAAAATATGCTGTGATTGCTGACATCCTACGGCACGAAGTAGTGTGTGTTTACACTTTATTATATTAGTACTTATATTAATAAAGTATAATATAACTTGATTAATCTGTCACATTGAGCAAGAATGTACTTATCATTGTCTGATCTATGACCATAGAATACTTGGGAATTTTGTGTACAGATTATTTAAAGTTTGCATGTACTAGGAAGAGATAAACAGTGTTGCGTTTTTTTAAATATTTAGTACACTTTGCAGAAGTGTTCCAGCATGTATTCTAGTATGTAATCATGTGTAATTTTTTTAATATGTTATTTTTATAGTTTGAAGGTAGAATTAATAGTAACGTATATGGTAATTGAGATATTATCCGTTTTTTACCGTTTAAATGTATTACCACAACGTGAACATAATATAATTCTGACCACAAACGTTTATTACCTGTTTAATCAATTTGATATTGACAGATAGGTTTTACTTCCGTGTTTGTTCGTATACTTAGGAATAGAATTAATATCACCTGGTGTATGTTTGTATTTAATCTAAGATTGTAGATATATTACCATACGGAATACTAATAAGAATATAACTAATCTTTTATATTTTTTTAGTAACCGATATCCTTGTTTAGATGGCAGTAAATAGGTTATGTAAGTAAAATATTTCTATAGCTATTTTATTTTTAAAATATTCTAGATTGTCTATACATATACATCTACTCCATTAATTATTCATCACGCATACTATCACGTGTATGTTCGGTTTTATATGTTTAGTGACAAAAAGGTCACTCTATCATATTAACCGTTTGCCCTCAGTCACAAGATTATCACGAACAAAGAATTAACAAGTTTGAACCTATTCATTGTGTCCTACATTATATGTTGCATTAATTTTTACTAGCTTTCGCCCGCGACTCCGTCCGCGTGGAATTAAAAAAAAAACTAAGTAGCCCATGTGTTCTTCCAGACTATCCTCTACATCCTTACTAAATTTCATCGAAATCGGTTCAGCCGTTTAGGCTATAAACTCTAACAAACATTCATCTATCCATTAATCCATCCATCTAAACTTTCGCATTTATAATATTAGTATGAAGTATGATCGTATACTTTGGAGGAGTTTTATATTTTTTGGTAATCTGCAAACACGGCCCCATTTTTAAATTTACAATGACCTCTAAATTATATTAATCGATCACGGATGAAAATGGCGTCGGAAAATATCAACGTTAACAATTTTGGAAAACATTTGGCTAAAGTTTAACATTCTTAATAGTTTTACAACATCAAAATCTACACTTAGGAATAATATAGCATTGTAACAATCCATTTAATTAAAAAAAATCTCGTAGTTATTGATTCTAGACTTCGAAATAACAATTAGGAACATTCAATTATTTTTTAACGGTCTTGTAATTCATGAGTTTATTGGTGACAAATCTTTAAAATATTAGTGTATAGTTAATTTGCCTTTTTAAATACTTAGATCAGTAACTACATGTTATTTAATAGGCGTAGTTGTAATAGCTCAGTGAGTTTGGCATGGGGAGGGTTGGTATCGATTTTAAAACCCTATAAAGTAGTGCGAGGGGAGGGATGTTGGGGTGAACGCACGCAGCGGCACGCTCCGCAAGGATCACAATAAGTTTCGCCCGCTGCCAAAACGGGATGCCATCTGCCTTCGGTTGCCGAACTCGATTTTTCGCATTCGCTTGATATTATGACTCACTACTCAAACAAGTATAGTTTTAGTTTAAACATTAATTATTGAAAATATTGATTTTGTATAAATAATTTATTCATTCCAAGAGCGTTTGTTATTTGGTTAAAAAGCTAGTTTGTCCTAAGCTACTTGTAAATACATTATTCAAATGTAAACCCTAATAACTTCAAGGTCAGTGTCTGGGTTATATTTCTATGAAAAATTAATAATATAAATACTTTCTCAAGTAATAAGGAATTACAGATCTCAGTGTATTCATCATTCCTATTTGTGGGTACTTCAAATATCTTGTTAGTTATAAAAACACATAACAAATAATAACATTAACTACAGTACTTAATATTAGATAGTTGTTAGCTTTTTTGGAGTGAAGGGCAGACCCGAGATACGCCTAGATAAGCTATAGTATGCACTTATATCGCTATATGCCGCTGTCCACTGCAGTAAAAATCGATAAATGAAACAATGGTGGTGAAAATACTTATGAAAACCACTTCAATGTACAGTACAGTGGTTTTCATAAGTATTTTCATGGCATTTTACTTGTAAAGTAAGCGATTAAATTGTCCGTGGTACATATGAGTATGTAAACACCAGTCCGTGTCGTGTTAACTGCAGCAAAAATCAATACACTGTGTATGCTCAGTGCTTGGATTGGTATTTCGATTTTTTATTTTTCTTATTTTCAAAAACATTATTCTTATAACCAATACACTTAATGATGTAAACAAAAAATCAATAAGTGTTGCAAAATTTCATGAATTCTTACCGTCTAACATGCAGCGTCGAGAATTCCAACCTTCTTCGTCGAAATCCTCGATTCTTCCAGTTTTTTCTTTGACGACCTCCATTGTTCCTCGTCCATCCACTATTTAACACACGCTAAGACATCACATAAGCACAATTAATACCGCACCGAGCACATATCACAGATTTCACGCATATATCCGACGACGTAATTTGACGAGCGACTGACACTAAAGTAGGGTGGATACGAAAATTATTTGTCTACAAGATACAAAACCTTGTTTTTAACTTAAATAAATAAAAGGCGAATCGTGCAAGCGACCGCCGCACTGCCCGTTCAATGTCAGTATCGAGTGGACAATCAATTATGCGACAGAACCGCGTAAAGAGGAGCCGTGTGTCGTAAACTAGCCTCGTGTTGATTCGCGCTAACACAGCGCATGCGTACAACGCCTTTGAGAAAATATTAGCACGCATGCGCGGGACGGATTATATGTCGATATGCTCGCCCAGGCGCTTTGGCGTTACTATCGCGTATATCGGATGAACTGTCTACAACCATTACATATAGGTTATTCTTCTTGAAAATCATGTTGTTTTGTAAAAGCACATTGTAAAGATCTCCTTTCTTTAACTTTTAGACAGGATCCGAGGAACCGAGGGAGGGAGGTAGCTAATAAAAACGTCGGTTTCGTATGTTCTTTCTTCTTCTATATATAAAAAGAAATTCCGTCGTTACATAATTGATAGATAATAAATAATATAGATTGTGATACAATTAAAAGATAAGCAAAAAAATTGATACAGCTTTTTGAAGTTTGAAATATGTTATGCAATAAACAGATGGTATCGTATAATAAATTATAAGGAAAGTTTATAACAATTTATTAGGCGTTCACAAAGCTTTGTTCACAGGGATAGGACAATGCTACATTATTTTATTGGCCGCTAGCGAAAGCTTATTGCGCAAGCGCAAGTAAACGAGTATTAAAATAATTAACGAGCACACCTAATGACTTACATCATGCGAAAGAGATGCCGTAGGCAAGAATGAGGCGTTAAATTAGATTGCTGTTAATGAAATAGTCGTAAAACATTGTCTTGCTTTTAGATAATTCCCATAGAAAATATGTTTGTCTCCCACGTCACTCTCAGTAGACACAGATGTTAAACATTGTTCTCATTTCTTAAGAAGTTATTACGATAAATAGCAACAGCTATACCATATATGAATAAACAATTAAAACATTTCGCAAAAGTTAATTCATCCTCATTATTTCTCTTCCTACGGGTAAGAGGTACTTTAGACCCCACGACTTGAAACGTCCTGGCATTTTGCCACTCCTAACAACCCCTTTTAATGACTCATTCAATGCCTTTGAAATTTGCCATTTGACTTAAAAGCTAACAGTGAGTAATATATTATAACCATTTAATAGTAGTTTAATTATTTTTATAATAAGAATAATAGATAGAGTATATAATAAAATGTAAAATAAAAATTTCCCAGGCCAACAATAGCTATTATTCATGATGATGTTCAATGATGTATACATAACATTATATCATCCTTGGCATGTGAATATTTATAAAAATAACAATTATTTTCTATCGGTACGTCATATCAATGGTAGTCAACCATGAAAAATTGTGAGGTCTCTCAGCTTAATGATACTAAAGCAATGCCTTAAATTGCCTTTAAAATTTAGTTTGGAGAATTTTAATAAACTATTTAAAAACGCGATAAAGACTCCTACAGAGGTGTGAATTTGCCTTCCTTTGTGGCCAATTAGCGATTCTTAGTACTGGAAGTCTGAGATTGGTTAAAATTACTTAGTTACAGTCTTTATCTATCAGATATAAAGATCAGAAATAAAGATACTCGTACAGCTCACTAGCTGGTGATGATGATTGACATGTATAGTGATACGTCCCCACCGAGGGGCTAGGAGCCTACCCTAAGTAAGGGGTGACTAAACCATAGTCAACCACACTGGCCCAGTGCGGGTTGGTTGACTTCACACATATCTTTGAATTATATGTGCAGGTTTCCTCCGAGCGTCCACCGAAGCGATCTAACAGCTCGGTGGCCTCCCAATCCGGTATTAATAACGAAATAACGGCTCGTGCCGAGGCTCCCGAGGGAGCCCTCGAGCTTAGTTACTCATAAATGAGGTTTAGTCTAAGCGCCATCTGCGCTCGGCCACCTCAAGCCCTTGGAATCTGTAAATACCTCTTCCAGGCAAACAGTGGGTATTTAGTCACAAAAAAAATCGAATTAAGACCTATAGATTTCAAGTCAAATGCTTAAACCGCTGAGCCAACGACGCTCTGAGATACTTATAATCGAACATCTATTTATATTTCATTTTCATAATTAAATTACTGAGACTGTCCACTTTTTAACACTTGGCTATCGAACATAAACGGTGATCCAAAACAATTCCAAATATAAAATTTATTGCGCAACGTCAAATTACTTTTTAAAAGACTTGTTTTTGTTCAATCGTTTTCGATTTGATTCCATAACAAATATTGTCCAAATACGGTATAATGATTATTGACTTAAAAGGGATAAATTATAAAGCGATCGTTTTTGTAATCATGTTAACAACTATAAAAAATATATTGAATTGTTGGGACATTACGTAGTAATTGCAATAACTATCGAAAACTTCGCGATGTCCCGATTCGATAACCAAGATGAATACATCGACTTTGTATTTTATTCGGATATTTTTTGACAATCTTCTTTTAATTTTAGGTCAAACATTCACTAGTGTAGAAAAATGTGTTATAAAAGGTAACAACATTGAAGTAATGTTTCACAAATTCTAAATGTCAAGCGCTAAATGTCAGCACTTCAAAGGTGCTGAGGTACTTAATGTAAGCTAGGAAGCTTAAGAATCGACACCATTTAGATTACATAAGGTCATTCGTTGTAACTAACGGAACCCGCTGTTCTCGCGTCTAATTAAATTAAACATATTCACAGACAGACAAGACATAAATCTATCAAATTGCTACTGTTTATGTAATGATCCTTTATCTAAAGCCGGTTTAACGTTATCGATACTCCGGGGGCGAATTTACGGCACCAATAACTGCAGTACGAGTAATACGAAAAATGGCATAAAGGGCGCCCTGGGCAGCCCCACCTTGCCCTACCCTATCACTGGTACTGCATATATCAATACTGGTACCGGTACATACTTTAACTATCTATTTTGATTCTTCATAAGTACTTATATTACTAGTATTGCATTACTGATGTGTGAAAAAAGTGTTTAAAAATGATTGGTAAAAATAAATGAACAGAAAATCATCTAAATATGAACATTAACTTTTACCTCTCTTGCTGTAATTTTTAAGTTCTTGGAAAGGCAGAACCCACCTGAAAAAAGAAAAAAAAATATTAAGATCGTATTCTCTGAAGTCGTAACAGCTAAAACATTTTTGTTATCTCTCGTTTTAAGTTTTTTTTTTTTATTACAGCATAATTTTATACGTTCCTATCACTTTATTAACAATTTTGTAACACAACGCACGTTATAGATAACACATATGAATATTTCTACAAAAACAATTAACAAACTTGGTCAAGGCTGTTGTCATGTTTGCTTTCTTACGTTCAGTTTACCTTGCCGTTCGTTCCAAATGGCCCGGTGTGAATGGCCTTAAGTGTATGTAATGAATGAATTTATTTGAACAAAATGTAATACCATAACAAAAATACAGCTCGTCAACCATTGGAACAGTCGTATTACATTGTTTTCGATATTAACACAAAAAAGTTATGAGACAGCCCTTTCTGGTCCTTCGAGCCGGGTTATGTTACGTCTGAGATGATATTTTTTGTCGCAGTAGCATACTTCTGTATCGACTTTCTTAAGGTGCGCCTGCGGTTTTTTTAAGTAACATAAAAAGAACTTCAATATGGCGTTGACTAGACACAAAAAATGTCTTGCATTCCATTAGTGTTATATAAAACGTGATCACGTGCCCATATGTCACTAGAATGTAGTATTTCTCGTATTATTTCCGTATACACTTTGTTTACATTCACATTTGATATACATAGTAAAGATAAGTTCTCGTCTTAAAAGGACTTACTTGCTATTAATATACGTGGACATAAATGTAAAAACGTTCCAAGGTGTTAGTTTACCAATGTTTTTAAAGCGAATTTAATAAAATATATTGTATATTTTACATATTATAGCAAGACATGAAAGACCCTTTTAGACTAGTGCTGCAGGACAACCTCAGGCTTGGTTAGTATACTAATAGCTGTTTATTTATGTGTATAAAAAAATACAGCAAGATGCCAAATGAGTTAAAATTGTTGAACTTCAGAAAATTTAGGACAGGGCTCTTTCATCTACTTCTTGGAAGAGAAGTTTATAGTGATGAGGATTTTTTAATGGTGATTTACTATAGTGAATCTATGTATGTATGTGCATGGTATGGTTTTGTAAAAATTGACAATATTTTGTAAAAATGAAATAAATGACCTGAATTTTAATTTGAAACAAGGAATGTGAATGCATCGATGTAGGATCTATAAACCTATGAGAATTATGCTAGAATTCTCTCAAAAAAAAAAATTTTTAACAGAGCTGTTGCTTTATATGCATTAATAATACTAAAATAAGGTGAAGGCCCCGACAAGGATTGCGAACGCGGCATTTTAGTTAATGGTTATAATTTCAAATAAACACAATTTTATTTAATTAAAGTACAATATTTACTGGATATTTCTTCAGGGACGAACGCTTTATTTGAATAAGACATATAAAATTTCATAAAAATCAATATGGTAGCTATCAACATGAATTATTAGAAGTATTTTTAACATTGCTTAAATTATTTTAAACATCAAAAACGTTTATAAATTAGATTAATCCTGGAATAATACTTTAGAAACTAAGTCGTTCGTGTTTAGAATCATAACGATCAACAGGAAAATATTGGCAATTGTTAGAACTCGACGTGCTGTAACCTTTGGAATAATTTAAGATACAAGAAAATGATAATTTATTCGCTCGCTAACTCTAAGGATGACGGAAGGGAAAGGTGAATCAAAATGTTCGAACACTATCATTGAAATGCAGCCAACAAGAGATCAACAAACACGCAGGCCAATTGGTAGTAGAAAGCAATTGAAAAGTAAAACTCTAACAAGCCTTCTTGTGATCTAGATGTAGTATATGTTTTTATAAAAGCCTAGCTGTTGCTCGCTACATTGGCCGCGTGAAATTAAAAAAATGTATATCACTCACAGATAAATTACCTATCTAACGGTGAGGGAATTTAAAAAATCGGCCCAGTTTTTGACTTATTTCAAGACATACAAAAA